AGAAAGACTTACACAGACTGCTCACACAGAACTATTACAGAGCTGGCGATTTAAAGAAAGTAAACTCTTTGCTACACACGTTAACATTCAGTCAGTGTGCTCTGAGATAGAGCCTTAAGAACAATACTACCTGAGCTTGTAAGTTAATACAATCATTAAAAGAGGTCTAAGACCATGTGGATACACAAACTTTTAGAACCATTACTGGTTAAATGATGATGGAAAACATCCCACCAGGCTGGCTTGTTAACCCGTAAGATCAGTTTTAAAAATAGACATCATTGAGGTATTTCTTCACCACGCCATTTTAAACCCAATTCACAATAGTTTAACAGCGGTCTTAGGGCCCTCCCTTCCAACCTGAACAAAAATGAACTAGAGGAATAGGAAAGGTGGAGAGGCAATACAGTATATATCATGGTAATGTGCTTTTCAACGTTATCAAGTATTTAATTAAAAAGCAAAGGAAAACAACGACCTGTCAATATATCACCTTTGGTAGAAAAAAATCAAACACAAAAGAGCAACATACACTTCACCAGTCCCTGCTCAGTAAAACAGTGACTGCTGCGATGCCACAGCGATGGACATCCTGCTGAGTCCAGAAGAGGTCCGATACAATCCCAAAGCCTACAGGATTCTCATTCCCTTCAAATACTTGGTGTTTCCAACAACTAGACCCTTAGAATTGCTCCTAATAGAGTGTGTATTTGCAGATATACAAAAAACAGATAAAATATTTTTCTCTTGAAGAGAGAAAGAGACCTAAAGGTCTTTAAGTTCTCAAATAGGTCAGATGAACCAGCAGTTTCATAATACTGAACATGGTCGTGATGCCCATAATTCCTAGTGAGGGGGAAAAAGCCCTGATTGGTTAAGAAATAATAATTGGATTTATGACTGTATTTGCCTGAGTGTAGAATATTTGGTGTCAAAAAGTTTCTTTTAAGGTCAAAAATGTTTCTCCTGGGAAAAATAAATTCTGGTTTTATAAAGGCATCTTCTTCTAGAGGTACCTCCCCCTCCTACCCACTCCCCGGCAGATGAATAGTTATTCTTTTCAGAGACCCGTCAGATGCTAACATGAGGTAGATGACTTTTGCCAAAATTGAGGTAGAAACTGAACAAAAACCAACGGTGTGGTGTAGTGTGGAGTGGTGTGTGCATCCTGTGCCCCTGGCCCGCAGGAAGCCAGAGAAGCCAAAGAGACTATGGAGGTCCTGGCTCCACGGTATCACACACAAGTCCGAGAGTTGGACTTATATACAGCCCCAGACTGCTGGAAACTCATTCAGAGTGATGTTTTAAATAAATACCCTAAATACTTTTTGGCACCATTGGATTTAAAAAACCAAAAAAAAAGACAAAAAAAAAAACAAAAACAAAAACAGAAAAACAAGCCTATTAACTTTGGCATATCTTTCACTATCTACCAGAACACAGCAATCTTAGAATCTTCCAAAGAGGAAGATAACACTTATACAGACAGTATTCTGCTGCTTCAAGCCTAGAAGACTTCCCGCCTCAAACCATTAAGCTTTGGCTTAACTAGAATAAAACAGAATGAGCCAATCTCAAGTTATTCTCTTCCAACTCCATCACAAAGTGCCTTAAGCCTGGCAACTTTTTTGGCCCAACATGTAATTTAGATTCTGTTTATGGTACCCTTGTATGTGTTTCCCCCAAATAAGTTAGACTTAAAAGGGCATCCATCAATCAAAGAGTTAGTGCACTTGGGGTACTGCCCAGACCCCTGGGCTCCAGCCAGCTCTCAGGCCACCAGCTAGCACAACACAGCGCAGGTCTCTGACACAGCATTGCTTCTCGTGACCACATTTACAGAGGAGTTGTTCGGTATTTTTAAAGATTAACACTTTTGAAATGTTAAGTCAGTGTCAACCAAAGTGGTCTGTTGCTAATCTGTGGGTTCTGTACATTTCCTTCAGCCATTTCAATACGAAAATGTATATACCCAAGTCCAGTTGGCATCTCCCGGCATAAACTGACCTGCACCCACCCCACTCCACCTGCCAACTGACCAGGATCAGACATCCATGGTGTTACTGTCTCAACAACACATTTACACAACAAAACATTTTATCCTCCTCTCACTGTTCAAGACTCCCGGCTCTGACCCAATTCCTTCCTACACTGGCATAATTTCAACTTCCAACAGTCTCACTCACACTAGGGAGTTCCAAGTGTTGGCTTTCTTTGATTTGGAGCATCCCACACTGTACGATAAACTCCAACGTGCTTTGCACCAGTCCCTCCCTGTGAGTCAGAAGTCCATCACGCGTAACCACATGTGGTCAGTTATTGAAAACAAAAGTTTCCCCGGTGAGACCATATTTCTTAAATGGCAGTGATGCACAAGTATGGGTGCAGAATGGTAAAGAGGAATACCACTGAGGGTGGTAAAGAGGCAGAATCACCCACCTATACACTTGTCTCAGGCAAGGACCACTAGAGCTTTAAGCCTGCAAATTTGTCAGTCTATCAGTTAAGACCTGATTGGTTCAGCCATGTGTGGACACCCTGGCTTTACAGCCACATCTACAGAAAAATGTTAAATAAGCAGCTTTAGTTACTGCTGTTCACCAAGAATATTTCTCACTCAAGTCCCAAGATGTCCCCACTTGGGAGCAAACTGGGAAGGAATCGTGAAGATGACAGGAAAATGCAGGAGGAACCAAGGTGATGACTGCCTGAGCAACTCCCTAGCCATACGATCGCGACCTAGGTTTCTGAGAAATATTTTTAAGAAACTTTAAAGATCCATTTCCCCAACAAAAGTATTTTTTAAGCATTTAAAACCAGCTGTCTTTGGCATTTAAAGGGCAATTTGTTGGGTGGCTGGGGAGCGAGGTAAGAGTAGCACCAAGTTATTCCAAAATGCAAAAATCATAAAAATGTTCAATTATACAAGTTCTTTACCAAAGAGCTTAGAATTTAGGAGGCAAAATAATAAACAGCAACTGAGTAGGAACTGAGGAAGGGTTCACTATTAAATTCTTCAAGAAAAGGCGTTTTGAGAGAACAAGATTTCCTGATTCCTCCCCACCTGCCAGGAGGCACCAGTTTGAAGCTGCTTTTCCAATTTTTGGATCTTTTATTACATGTAGTTCTCCTTTACAAAGTTTTGGCCCATTTTAGTCACTCAGAAACCCTAAAACTAAAGTAATGGAAAGAGAAAGGTACCTAAGTGGTCAACGAAGTAAGTGTCCAAAAAAGCTGGATGGGAGAAGCAATTTGATTGACTTGCAATACTGCCCCCATCATCAACTTTTCTTTTGTGATGACAGAAGCAAATTGCTCCATTTGTTAAGTCTATTCTGTTCATTTAAAACTACATCCACATTGCAAGAGGAAATCCTCTTCAATACAGCAACAGAAACTGACTTGTTAGTCTTTCTGTTTAAACACAAGGTCTCGCTGCAAGCACCTCGCCCTCCCGAGGTGCGCTCTCTTGAACTGGTTCCTAGGTCAGTATTCGGGGGAACGCAGGGACGTATATGGGCTCTGAGAAGCAGGATTCAGCTATACTGACTTTCCACTCGGGAGACAGAATGCTCAGAAGCACAAGATTTTGTACCCAAGTCCAGCTTACTATACACACCGACTCTGTAAAGTGACAGATGCCACCCCCCAAGTCTGCAGTGGGAGCCTGGCTTAAATTTTCATTCTTTGGTACTGAGGTATATAGGTTTAACGAAAGACATTCTGTTCTACATTTCAGGCTGAGACAATTTGGTTTACAAATCCTTTACATTCAAAGTCCTTTGGGGAAAAATTCATGTCAACCATGAGGTCCTACAGCATGGCCTGGCAGCAAACCATACTATCAAGGTAACCCCTGTGTCAAGGTTAACATGAGCTGGGGCTGTTTCTATTAATTTGACTTTCAAATAGCCTATTTCCCTGAACTTCCAAAGCAGGAAAAAATTGTGCTTTTAAAATAGAAGTTCACTTTTTGCCTACTCTTCGTAGGAAAAGAAACACCTGGCATCCACAACATTCAACCTAAGGTTGGAGATGGACCCCCACGCTCCCGCAGTTTGGGGGTACCCTGCTTCTTATACTCTCTGCTGACTACCTCAGCCTGTGCAGGCCCACACAACATACACGTGCCAGTCTGCATTTGAACACCCGTTCTGAGAATGAAGTTGATTTTCTTCTTCCTTCCACTTAACTCTTTATAACCACCCACAAACTAAGCATACTTAACTTCTGAGAACACTTTTACTCAAAAATCCTGAACTACATCTAGTTTTTAGAAACCAAAGCGTGAGAAGAAGGTTTTTTGGGAGGTGGTGTGTCATTTTCAGCTTTATGATTCTGGTGTAAGCACACACACACACACCCTCCCTTAAAAGAAAAACAAAAGTTACATACCCTAAAATATGAATGGTCTGCTTTTCCTGGCTAGCAAGCCACAGCCACATCTTCTAGGAATAAGAAAAGATGCTGAAGAGGATAACAAACACTGAGGTATAAAAAGGAGAACACAAGAAAGTTCTCTGTTGCAGCATTAAAAGAAAAAAAAAAGAATTTCCCAAAAAGATCAAGATCACACAACACAATCTAACCCCATAAACACAGTATTCTCAAGAACACAAATACTCTATAATTAAGCATTTTAAATCCTATTTCCCACGTTTTATAGTTTTTTCTTTTTTACTTAGTAGTTTTTTTCGTGTTTCCTTGGCTCAACCTACAGAATACACCCACCACACACATCCAGTGCCCTGCGAGGCTTGTGCGTATCAGGCCCCGGGGAGGGGAAGTGGGGGGGAGCTCCACGGAGCCAGGGGGGAGGAGGGCAGAGGGCCTGCTGGAGAAGGAAATGTAAAGATTTATGAGGTAGATAGAAAGTATCACTTCACAGGCTCAATCCCTGCAGAAAAGATAAGTACATTCATCTGTAAAAAAATAAAGATGAGGTAGGACTTAAGCAATGTTGTACTTTTCTTGTTCTCTTTAAACAAAAAGAAAAAAAGAAATTTCCCTGAGACTGTTTCTTCTCTGAAATTCTAAAGGAGAGATAGGGAGAGAGAGACGTACACAGGCACACCCCCAACACGAAGCCTAGACCGAGCGATCAGAAGATGAGGATGCGGTTGTTACCAAAGTCCACCACCACGATCATCCCTTCGGGTGTGACGGCGATGCCCGAAGGGCGGTCCATCTGCCCAAAGCCACTGCCTTGAGTCCCAAACTTGCACAGGAAGCTGCCGTTGGACTCGAACATCTGCACCCGGTGGTTCCTGGAGTCAGCCACGATGATGCGGCCCTCCTGGTCCACGGCCACTCCCTGGGGACGCAGGAACTGGCCAGCGCTCGTGCCCTCTGAGCCCAGGAAGCGGGCCGACTGGCAGTCGGGGTGAATAACCAGGAGCCGGTGGTTGTTGAAGTCGGTGACCACCAACTGGCCCTCGTGGTTGAAGGCCACCCCCCGTGGGGAGTCAAAGTGCTTCCAGAGAGCCCCCTCGAAGCCATACTTATTCAGGAAGACTCCATCAGGCCCGAAAAGCTGGATCCGGTGGTTCCGAGTGTCAGAGACCAGGATCTTGCCCTCCGAATTCACTGCCACATCCCAAGGGTAGTTGAACTGCCCGTTCTTGGTTCCCTTTTCACCAAACTTGAGGAGGAACTGGCCCTCAAAGGTGAAGATCTGGATGCGATGATTGTCCTTGTCAGCCACCACAATCCTGCGGGCTGTGTCGCAGGCCACCCCAGCGGGCCGGTCGAACTGGCCAGGCCGGGAGCCCAGGCTGCCAAATTTGTGATGGAAGGTGCCGCAGGGCTGGAACACCTGGATGCGGTTATTGCTGCGGTCGGCCACCACGATGTAGCCCTCCTTGTCCACACTCACCCCCCAGGGCCGACAAAGCTTGCCATCACTGTCGCCCTCACTGCCGAAGCTCAGGCCCGGCAGCCCGATGCCTGCGTAGCTGCGGCCTGACTTGACCAGTACCTTGAAGGGGCTGTTTTCGATGTGCTGGTTGCACATGGTGACCGACACGAGGTGCTCGCCCTCCAGCTGGGGCCGGTAGCTCACAACATAGGTCCCATTCTGCTGGTCACTCACCTCTGCCCCGAACAGGTTGCCATCGGGGCCCAGGACCACCACTGACACCAGGTCCCCTCCTGAGAGGCGAGGCTCCCCATCGTGGTCGTAGCCGATGACAGTGAAGGAGGCCACCTTCCCCTGGAGGGCCCGCTTAAGGCCGTCCCCTGTGGCCTTGGTGAGCGGAGCGAAGGCCCCACTGCTGACGAAGCCAAAAGATTTGATGGCAAGGTAGAGTGCCTGGTCTGGGGGCGTGAATGTGACCCTGTCATCCTCCTGGGGCTGCAGGAGGCTGCGCACCGACTTCAGCTCCTGCACCTGGGCCAACATGCGGTCCCGGGCCAGCAGGACATCCAGTGCCCTCCCCTCCTCCAGGACCTGCTGCACCGCACTGACGGTGCTCTCCAGCTTGTTGAGGTTCTGCCGCAGCTTCTCCACCTGCAGGTACAGTGACTTGGCCTTCACCTGGCGGATCTTCTCCACCTGGAGGGGAAGGTGAGGGCAGGGAGACAGGACACACAGGGGCTCAAAACCAATCACACAAGATGGCACAGAACCTGGTGCAAATGCCAAAAAGCTGTGGGCAAACCAACGCGGAAGGGGCGGTCTACCCAAACAGCCGTGCACGCTCTTTGAAGTGCAGTGTCCCAAGACCCCAGAAGGCTAAGGAACTGTTCCAGATCACAGGAAGTGACCTCATGTAACAAGTGATCCTGGGTGGGGGGTACAGTATTCAAAACACTACTGGTGGGTTTGACTACCGACTGAGACTGGACACAAGTAGAGTAACAAATCCAAACATCCTGATTCTGACTGGAGCCTAATGTGAGACGGCTCTCGCTCAGAGGAAATAAGCATCTAGGTATTCAGGAGTAAAGAGGCACTGTGCCTCCAGCACCCACCTTACTCTCAACCACATATATACACAGATGAAAAAAAGGATGAAAATGGGCAATATGTACATAATTGGTAAATGTGGGTAAAGGGTATATGGAGTTCCTTTATTATTGCTGCCAACGTCTCTGTAAGTCAGAAATTTAAAAAAAATAAGTTAAAAACAGCCATCTAACAAATGTTCACTGAGCACCTTTTTGCCAGGCACTAGAGGTATACAATGACCTACAGAAAATATATATTTGCCCACACACAGCCTATACTTGAAGATGACAGGTATTAAGCAAGCGATTGAAGCAATGTAGGATAATTTCAGTAGTGCCAGGTATTTGAGAATGGAGACAGAGTGTTCAAGACAGTGACTGGAGGCCTGACTGTGACAAAGGGTTGTCAGAGACAGGTGGCTTTAAAAAAGGTAGAGAGAAAAATGGCAGAAGAGAACCAGAGGCAGACCCAGCAGGCTTCCCAACTGCCCACAGCATGCATTTTCACTGCAGCTACACAGGGCACCAAGTCCTTTGCAGATTCCTTCCCCTCTCTTGTGTGATGGGAAGACTGTGCTTGTACAGGGAGTACAGTGATACAGTGAGGATTCAGGATTAGAAATGCCCCTCTCTTCTTCTCTGCTGTCTTCAACTGTTTTCTCTCAGGTCTTAGAATACTTCAACCTGAAAAGCCCCACACCACAAATTCAGAGATGACAATTTTTTTTGGCAACCGTTAGCCTGCATTGTTTCCAAAGGGGCCCACAGCTTTAAAATGCTTTAATGTTTAGACATGGATTCTGATCTGCCAAAGGAGTTCCTGTTTCTGAGGCTCTCAAACTGTGCTCTGGGAATATGGGATTTTGTCTGACGATGAAACAAGAGTCCTTTCTCCATTCTTTTGCATTAAGTAACTGAAAGTCCTTGAATTTTAAGTAATGCCCCCTGTGAAGGGATAAACAAGTCACCCAGCTAGTTCATGTTGTTTTGCAGAGAAGACCATGACCTCTGACTGCTTTACTTAACTGAACGCTATAGGAAGTCTATTTTGGAATAAGGGTTCACTGTTGGGATGCCTGGATTTTAATCCAAGTTTCCTTTGGGATGCGGGGAAGGAGATGGCAAGGTTTTTGACCCATTTGTGGGTCACCTATCCACTCTGGAAACAGGACGCATGTGTGCAGATTAAATAGCAGCTTTGTCCTTTGGTCTTACATGGGGCCAAATCTCTGGGCTTTGATTCTGATCCCTCAAGAAGGTGGTTGCAACTAAACTCACAAAGTAGTCATGTCCACTGGAAATGCCTAAGCCACAAGAATAAAGAGGTGCATCCAGGTATCTACACCTAGGTCACCTGGGACTCAAGTACCTTCAACAATCAGGAATGCAAGAAAAGGGAACAGAATACACCAAGGGGGGGTGCTCTGGCAGACAGACAGGAAGACTTTTTACAGGAAGGGAGCAGAATTGGGGCAATGTACCGTGGGAAACAGTAATGACCAATGGGACTGAGATATGCCCTTTGGAGGTAGCTGAGAGTATCTTTTGGGGCAAGTAGAAACTAAGTTTATTACACAGAGAAGAGACTGACACAAATCTGCTTCTTCTGGAGTAAAAATTCACTTTCCATTCCTCCTCACCGAGAACTGCTTTTAGAGAGGACATGAGTCAGCCTCCCAGGAGGGAGGGTAACTGAGGTGAGAGCTGCAGAAACCCCTACACACAAAGGCCTTTTCATCAGCAAATTCAGAAGAGCCAATTTGTGGCAGAGGTCACCACAGAGCTCAGGTTGCAGGACCAGTGCCCCTTTTCAGTTCTAATTAACATTCGTGGGTGGCATGAGACTGGTGGACCATGGGGACACATGGGTGCCTGAAAACCTTGTCAGGCCCACAAAAGGTACCTGAATAAAATATGTAAATTAAATCTTGGACTTTTTCCATCCCAGGACTCTTCCTGTCAAAAGGTAACTGAGCCATGTTCCACGTGAGGTCAAAAGAGGACAAAGGAGTGGTTATGAGCAAAATGCAATGTGACAGCTAACACAGCCTTTCAGAACAGTTTAGAGCATAGTAATTGGCGAGGGTCACTTTCAGAAATTGACAAGTCCTCCCTGTCACATGGTCTGAGTGATCAAAACACACATGCACACCCCTAGGCACACTCTTTTTAATCACCAACATGTGAGGTCTTACTGGTGTGCTAAGAGAAATAAACAGGTGAACTGGGTGAGGTACTGGCCCATTTGCAGGAACAGCCCTCTTCTTCCTGAGAGCAGACATAAGGTCAGAGAAGAAAATGGTGGGGTGGGATGAGTGGAGAGTCATTTTCCTACTAAGTTTTCTCTGAACAGCACACCAGTATGCTCAGCACCCTCTCCTGCTCCAACAGGAAGAAAGGGCACAGGCTCAGGGCCCTCCCAAGGAGAAAGCTGGTTTCCTCAAGGGTCAGGAGGGCGACCAGCAAGGACACCAAGAACAAGGATGCTTCCTAGCAGCCCATTTCCTAAGGATCTCAAGTGTACTTCCTTTCTGCTCTTGACAGTGTACAAGTATAAAACTCGAGGCTCGTGACCATAGGGGTACCAGAAGGAGAGAGAGAAAAAGGGATAGAAAGTGTCTTTGAGAAGGTAACTGCTGAAAAATTCCCCAATTTGGGGAAGGAGATAGTGTCTCAGGCCATGGAGATCCACAGGTCTCCCAACACAAGGGACCCAAGGAAGACAACACCAAGACATATAGTAATTAAAATGGCAAAGATCAAAGATAAGGACAGACTGTCAAAAGCAGCCAGAGAGAAATAAATTCACATACAAAGGAAAGCCCATCAGGCTATCATCAGACTTCTCAGCAGAAACCTTACAGGGCAGAAGGGAGTGGCATGACATATTTAATGCAATGAAGCACAAGGGCCTTGAACCAAGATTACTTTATCCAGCAAGATTATCATTTAAATTTGAAGGAGGGATTAAACAATTTCCAGATAAGCAAAAGCTAAGAGAATTTACCTCCCACAAACCACCTCTACAGTATATTTTGTAGGGACAGCTACAGATGTAAGTGTTCCTAAGGTTGAATAGCTATCACCAGAGGTAATAAAACCACAGTAAAGAAAGTAAAACAGCTAATTACTAAGCAGACACAAAATTAAATTAACCATCCCCAAAGTCAATCAAGGAATAGACAAAGAGTACAGAATATGATGCCTAATATATAAAGAATGGAGGAGGAGGGAAAAAAATAAAGAACCTTTGGATTGTGTTTGTAATAGCATATTAAGTACGTCAGACTTTTAGACAGTAAGGAAGTTAACCTTGAACCTTTGGTAACCATGAATCTATAGCCTGCAATGGCAATAAGTACATACCTATCGATAATCACCCTAAATGTAAATGGACTGAATGCACCATTCAAGACATAGAGTAAATGAATGGATAAAAAAACAAGACCCATCTATATGCTGCCTGCAAGAGACTCACTTTAAACCCAAAGATATACACAGACTAAAAGTGAAGGGATGGAAAAAGATATTTCATGCAACTAACAGAGAAAAAAGCAGAGTTGCAATATTTGTATCAGACAAAATAGACTTCAAAACACAGAAAGTAACAAGAGACAAAGAAGGACATTACATAATGATAAAGGGGGGTCAATCCAACAAGAGGATATAACCATTATAAATATCTATGCTCCCAACACATGAGCACCCACATATGTGAAACAAATACTAACAGAACTAAAAGGGGAAATAAGAATGCAATGCATTCATTCTTGGAGACTTCAACACTCCACTCACTCTGAAGGACAGATTCACCAGACAGAAAATAAGTAAGGACACAGAGGCACTGAACAACCCAATAGAACAGATGGACCTAACAGACATCTATAGAACTCTACACACACAAGCAACAGAATACACATTTTTCTCAAGTGCACATGGAACATTTTCAAGAATAGATCATATACTAGGCCACAATAAGAGCTTCAGTAAATTCAAAAGTATTGAAATTGTACCAACCAGTGTCTCAGATCACAAAGCTATGAAACTAGAAATAAATTAATCAAAGAAAATGAAACACATGGAGGCTTCACAACATGGTCCTAAATAACCAATGGATAACTGACCAAATAAAAACAGACCAAGCAATATATGGAGACAAATGACAATAATTCAAGACCCCAAAATCTGTGGGACAGTGTAGGCCGTGCTAAGAGGAAAGTACATTGAAATACAGGCCTACCTCAAGAAAGAACAATCCCATATGAGCAGTCTAAACTCACAATTAAAGAAACTAGAAAAAGACGAATAAATGACACCCAAAGTAAGTAGAAGGACATAATAAAGATGAGAGCAGAAACAAATTAAATAAAGAAGAAAACAGAATCAGTGAAAGCAAGAGCAGTTCTTTGAGAAAATAAACAAAATAGATAAACCCCTAGCCAGACTTAACAAGAAAAAAAAGTCTACTCACATAAACAGAATCAGAAATGAGAAAGGAAAAATCACTACAGACACCACAGAAATACAAAAGAATTATTAGAGAATATTATGAAAAATTATATGGTAACAAACTGGATAACCTAGAAGAAATGGACAACTTTCTAGAAAAATACAAACTTCCAAGGCGGACCCAGAAAGAAACAAAATCTGAACAGACCAATTACCAGCAACGAAATTGAACTGGTAATCAAAAACCTACCTAAGAACAAAACCTCTGTACTAGATGGCTTCACCACTGAATTTTATCAAACATTTAGTGTATACCTAATATCCATCCTCCTTAAAGTTTTCCAACTCATCCTATGAGGCCAGCATCACAATAATACCCAAAAAAGGCAAAGACACCACAAAGAAAGAAAATTACAGACCAATATCCCTGATGAACATAGAGGCAAAAATACTTAACAAAATTATCAGCAAACTGAATTAAAAAATACATCAAGATTATGCCAGGGATGCAAGGATGGTACACATTCAAAAATCCATCAACATCATCCACCACATAAACAAAAAGAAGAACAAAAACCACATGATCATCTCCATAGATGCTGAAAAAACATTTGACAAAATTCAACATTCATTCATGATAAAAATTCCCAACTAAATGGGTATAGAGGGCAAGTACCTCAACATAACAAAGGCCATATATGACACACCCACAGCCAACATCATACTTAACAGCGAGAAGCTGAAAGCCTTTCCTTTTAAGATCGGGAACAAGACAGGGATGCCCATATATGATAAAGGAGCCATGGACATACAATGGGGAAATGACAGTCTCTTCAACAGATGGTGCTGTCAAAACTGGAGAGCTACATGTAGGAGAATGAAACTGGACCATTGTCTAACCCCATACACAAGAGTAATTCAAAATGGATCAAAGACCTGAATGTAAGTCATGAAACCATAAAACTCTTAGAAAAAAACATAGGCAAAAATCTCTTGGACATAAACATGAGTAACTTCTTCATGAGCATATCTCCCCAGGCAAGGGAAACAAAAGCAAAAATGAACAAGTGGGACTATATCAAGCTGAAAAGCTTCTGTATGGCAAAGGACACCATCAGCAGAACAAAAGGCATCCTACAGTATGGGAGAATATATTTGTAAACGACATATTCAACAAGGGGTTAACATCCAAGATATGTAAAGAACTCACATGCCTCAACAACCAAAAAGCAAATAACCCAATTAACAAATGGGCAGAGGATATGAAGAGACAGTTCTCCAAAGAAAAAATTCAGATGGCCAACAGACACATGAAAAGATGCTCCACATCACTTAATCATCAGGGAAACGCAAATTAAAACCACAATGAGGTGTCACTTCACACCAGTAAGGATGGCCAGCATCGAAAAGATTAAGAACAACAAATGTTGGTGTGGATGCAGAGAAAAGGGAACCCTCCTACACTGCTGGTGGGAATGTAAATTAGTTCAACCATTGTGGAAAGCAGTATGGAGGTTCCTCAAAAAACTCAAAATAGAAATACCATTTGACCCGGGAATCCCACTCCTTGGAATTTACCCAAAGAATACAACTTCTCAGATTCAAAAAGACATATGCACCTATGTTTACTGCAGCACTTTTTACAATAGCCAAGAAATGGAAACAACCTAAGTGTCCATCAGTAGAGGAATGGATAAAGAAGAGGTGGTACATATATAGAATGGAATACTATTCAGCCATAAGAAAGAAATAGATCCTACCATTTGCAACAACATGGATGAAGCTGGATGGAGGATATTATGCTCAGTGAAATAAGCCAGGCAGAGAAAGACAAAAGCCAAATGATTTCCCTCATTTGTGGAGTATAAACAACAAAGCAAAACTGAAGGAACGAACTATAGCAGCAGACTCAGAGACTCCAAGAGGGGACTAGTGGTTACCAAAGGGGAGGGGTGTGGGAGGGAGGGTGGGGAGGGAGAAGGGGACTGAGGGGTATCATGATTAGTACATATGGTGTGGGGGATCATGGGGAGAACAGTGTAGCACAGAGAAGGCATACAGTGGATCTGTGGCATCTTACTACACTGATGGACTGTGCCTGCATTGGGGTATGGGAGGGGACTTGATAATATGGGTACATGTAGTAACCACATTGTTTTTTCATGTGAAACCTTTGTAACAGTGTATATCAATAATATGTTAATAAAAAAAATTTTTTATTTAAAAAAAAAACTCGTGGCTCTTCCAGTCTTAGGTGCCCAACTACTTCTGAAAAGGCTTCTTGCCATTTCTGTGCTTGGAGAGCACCCCCAGTGCTCCAGGGATGACCCCTACACCTTTCTGCCAGCAGTCTCTCAGGGACACTACCAAGTGTTGTTTGTAACCCAGAGCTGGGGTCTGGGAATCTACTGCTGGCACCCTTGTGGGTCTGCCGCGGCCCCACAGCAGACGAGGGGGCGAGGGCGGCAGCACGGGGCTGGGGGCCAGCACTACCTTCCACAGCAGCTCACACTCGCGCTCCTCCAGGGCCTTCTTGTGTCTTGCGGTCACAGCTTTGACCTCCGACTGCACGACCTTTGCCTTCATCTCCACCTGTTCTGCCACCGTCTGGGCTTGCTCGATGCTCAGCTGAAAAACCAAACACATTCTCACGACATCAGAAGGACCTTCACTCCCTGCACAAAGCATGTAGGTCTGCTTTCCTCAGACCTGAAATGCCAACACCCTGGGCCCCCAGATTGATCCATTTCCCTGAACAGAAAGCAGGTGCTAAGGGAGAGAACGGCTTCTGCGTGACATGTATCTGAAGGCACTGCTGGCAAGCCCTGCATTTCTTTGTAGGAGAGGCGGCACCTACACAGTGAAGGTCAGGACTATTAGAGATCCTCAGACATGCTGGGAGCATCATAGCTGGGCCACAGCTGAACACTGCAAATGAGGATCGAGTGGGACATGTATTACTCCAGGCACACGAACAACTTCCCACAGCCTTTCTGGCCTTGCTCCCCAATGGGGGAAATGGGGCAGGCTGAGCACATCCCTGCCATGAATATGTATGATAGGCTGCAGGCCTGCAGTTCTCCATCCTGCCCCTCAAGTCAAGTCATTAGCAGCACTGCTTGTTCCTGCCAGAAGCAACACCCAGGCCATGCCAGGAATTACATGTGAGGCTAAGATACCAGGCCCTACAGTCAGAGTATCCACGTCCCACCACCCACCCCAACCCCACCCTGTACCACCAGCCCTTAGTAAATCAGCCAGTTTAATCAGACGTATTATTGTTCATAAAAAATTAATCCAGACAGAAGGCCTGGTGTTTTCATTAATATTACATGATGTGTCTTGAAAAGCCACAAGGATTTCTTTGAGCTACTGAGGTATTAAATCAGGGATCCCCAACTGACTGCTCATGGTGCAGGTTTCGAGCATGTGCTCCGAATCAGGAGGGCCAGAGGATGCAGAGAGAGTCTGGAGCCCGGCTGGGCTCAGGAATGGATTTACAGGTGACCACGGTTCAACAAATCTCAGCTCCACGTCCCATACTTAAGTTTGTAAGACCTTGGACAAATTCCTGCCCTCTTCCCATCTTGGTGAAGGTGAATATGAGGAAAATGAGGGGTAAGAAGGTACATGGAGAGCCAGGCACAGCACCCAGCCCAGAGCAACCTACTGTTGAAATGGGGCTCTGATGATCAAACAACACCTGCACCAGAAAACAGCTCAACCATCCTTAGCTCACATCATACAAGAAGGATCGTGGACCTAGGCCTAGCCACACGTCCTGCCTTTTGTTTTCAAATTGTGATGAAATACATGTAACATAAAACTTGCCCATTAGTGACAGTCAGCACATTCTGTACTGTGCAGTCCTCACCACTATGTAGCTACAGGGCATGCTGGACACCCAGGCAGTCACTCTACATCTCCCCTCCCCCTCTCCCAAAGCAGCCATAACCTACTGCCTCTGCACACCTGTCTATCCTGGTATTTCACATAAATGCAATCACACAATACATGACCAACCTTGTTTTTATGAATGTGCTTCCCACTCAACAGTTGTGTCTCGTTTGGTCACTTACAGGTGGGGTCCCCTATTATCATCTTTAATCCTCTCAGTAAAGAGGACACACTAATGGCATGTGAGCCACACCCACACAGCAGCTGCCTCCACACCATCCATGACAGTTAACCACTCACGCATTCTCAGCCCCAATCCCTGTGAGGCCTATGGGTACACGAGCAGGCTGAAGCCAGCACTAGGCTCATCCGGGTGGCTCACAGTCTACCTGTGTTCTATCTAGGATACGTTCTTTTCCAATTTCACCCTGAATTTCAACCCAGCCCAGATTCCACTTCCTTTCTGAAGCTGAAATGAATTTTTCTGTTCATCGTTACAATCCTGTCCTAAGTGTTCTTACTTATCAAACTAGTTGGGGGCCAAGTATATAATCCATGATACTTGGCCATGGATTATAACTTGTTACAGGAATAATCGATACATTCAATTTGCTCATCTTCTGTCTATGGCTCTATGTTTATGAAAGCACAAGTAACTACTGGGTTACAAACTGTCCCCCCAAAATTCAGGAGCACCTGAAGCCTCAAACTGCAACCTGATCTGTAAATAAGGCTCTGCAAATACAGTTAGTTAAGATGAGGTCATACTGGACTAAGGTGACCTAAATTCAGTGACTGACTGATCCTCCATGTAAGGCCACGATGCAGACAGACACGAAGAGGCCACATGAAGACCTAGGCAGAAAACTGGAGTGTTTCAGGTATAAACCAACACCAGGGATTTCTGGCAACCTCCAGAAGCTATTAGAGGCAAGGAAAGGTTCTTCCCTGGGGCCTCCAGAGGGAGCACAGCTCAGCTGACCTTGACTTTGGACTTTCGGCCTACAGAACCATGAGCCAGTAAATTTCTACTGTTTCAAGTCACCCAGTTTGTGGTAACTTGATACAGCAGCCCTAGGAAACTAGTATTGTGGTCAACCAACTGAAGCAGATGGATATATCCAAACTACCCCTAAAATAAAAAACTAGACTGACCAACCAAATAAAGTGTACTTATATAAGTAGATACATGATGAAGTGGGTAGATTTCCAATCTATCAGGCTATCAGGATTGATTCAGAAAAAAAAGAGAAACCTCACTAGACGTTTAAACAGAAATGACCTAATGTAAGGAATCTGGTTAAAGAGGAACTGGCGAAGTGCCAGGGCAAAGGGCACACTGAGGATTAGAGGCAGATAGTAACTTAGGTAAACAAGCAGCCACCACCCCTTGGGTTCAGAGAGCCAGAGAAGTTGGGGTTACAAGAGCTCAGAAGTGTGGAGGCAGGGCCTGCCCAGCTCACGCTGGAAGTGGCAAAAACTGGAAATGGGAACTAACTTCTGCTGTCAGGGTGAAAATGCTGCTGTTAAGAAAAGGAAGTCTAAAGGAAGAAGCCCGGCCCTCTCCCCACTTCCAGACATGTTTTTAAGCACTTCAACCCCAGCCTCACATGGCCCGAGTGTGGAAGGAAGAGTCATCAGCAGTGAGAGCAAGACTTAATAACCTACCATCTGCTTTCCGATGTGTTGGCTATTAGCTAGCGCAGAGCTGGCATCCGTAACAATTTGTTATGCTTGCCCCAATGGAAAGCAGAGGCGGCAAACTGCTTTCTATTTACACCAATGTCATGTTACTTACCAAACTAATTCTCCATAAAAATCAAAGATATGGAAATAACAGGCGCACATTCCTATAGGGCAAGCACTGGCAAGAGGGACCACTGACCACCCCATTTGCACAGGAGGGCTTACACAGACAGACAGACTGCTCACCTCTCCCTCTACTGTCTCCTAGCCAGCTTGCTCCTTCATGTTCCCTGCCAGCTTTCTGCAAGGCCCTTGGTTTTGGAACTTCTGATCTATGACAAGAACTATTTATTCTGTTTTTCCAACACGTAAAGGGGTGCAATGCTCTTCCTGTAATCTGAGTCATGCCCCAAGCACACAAAGATACAACCATTCCTAGGGTAGAGAGTCACAAAAGCCCTACATATACAGGCAAAAATGCATCTCTCCTGTCCAGATCATATACAATCCTGCCAGGCACTGCATTCATTCCACAACGTGTAGAACACCACCCACTGAACTAGTTCCCATTATCTAAAACAGGGCCCAAGGCGCAGGTGGGCTAGAGGAAGTGACAGTGGGTAAAGGGCTGTACACTTCAAAAACAGAAAAATACACTTTGGAGTAAGAAAAATCACCCAACAAGCATGGGCCCTGGAAAAAAAATGTTATCATCTTTTAGATGTTAATAGATCTAACTGAATGTCTGAAAGCTGAAAGGGTCTCAAACTGGGCAAGCAAATCAGTGCCTGCCAGCTGACCACAGTATGCTGGCCACTTAGGACAGAGGAGGAGTCTGGGGCCAAAGCCAGGTTTCATAGGAAAGAGGGAAAAAGAGTACAGAAATTAACTAGTGATGCCTACCGTGGGGAACAGCGGTGTCCTGGTACTGGAGAATGCAAATATCGCAAACATTTACAGGCCACCACCCCAGAAATGAGAACTACTGAGGTTCACTCTCTAACTTTTACCACATTTAATATCTTTGAAACTCTGATACATCTTAAAATTGTCAGTGGGCTTTTTTTATCCTTTGTTAACAGAACGTAAAATACATGTGCATCGTTTACAATCAGTGACATCTTAAATGTGATTTAAGACATACAGTAATTAAACAACGAAGACTCTCTTCTGGGGGGAGAAACTATATTCCTGATTCTGATGATGGAATCTCCATGGAATCAGTACACCTTATGAAATCCTCTAATTACCTAAATGACCAAAATGCTGTACTTTCAGGAAGAGACGAAGCGGGAGTACTGGAATGTTCTAAAAAGCAATAAAAAGGAGTGGCTATCCTTACACTGATCAAGTATACTAGACAATGTCCGTGCTTTTTTTGTTGTGGCTAACAGACTTTCATCAGAGTAAACGCTCTTTACAGGACTATCTAGAATTAACTGAAGGATTTACTTCTGGGTGTTTTGTCTAGAACTAAGACTCTGAAGCTGAATACAGACAAGTTGTAAGTTTCTCAGAGTCACAACTCAGGAACTAGGGTTCAGTCAACTGTACATCCGATACTTGTAATTTAACACTGAATAAAAAACCAGACAGCCAATGGGGGAAATGTGCCGTTTACAGCCATTCTCTCCCCATCCAGGAATGATTCATTAAAAGCTTATACTCAAAGTGATTTTGAGAATGAGCGGATTGAGGATACTGAAGAAAATGAGGCGTCCACGCCAAGATGTCCTCACTAGGGAGATTATACAGAGGCAGCGCACAGGAGGCGCTGCTATTCATTGTAGAGCAGCCCGTGTAAACCTGCAGCCTTCTGGCACTCCCCCCAACACACAGCATGGATTGGGAGTGATTCGGGGTCCAGAGGTGCCTGAAGGGAGAAACATCACTGCTATGCCTCCAGGGAGTGGGCATTATCTCCCTCTACAGAGGGGAAACCAGAGGACAAATGCCCTGGCTGAAAAAAAAAAAGGGAATGCTGTTCCTCAAAAGTCTTTTCTAGACAAAAGTTGGTAAATGGAAATTAAAACACACAAGCCCCA